GTCTGGGTCGACTGGTTGCATTTTCCCTTCTGAAGGCAGTCAACCACCATCCCTAGTTCAATTGAAACATTAATAATGGTGTGAGAGTGCATTCACTGATCTATCATTGAGTCAGGGTTTGCAGGTCAGGCTTCCACAGATGGTGACCCATGTCTCAGTTTCTCTCCCATTTTTATATTCAGCCTGATTCTGAATTCTCATTTGTTTTATTATTTTCATAAGATTGTTTTATATTTTGCAGAAATTTCTGTGTTCAGTTAATAAATGTTTCTTTTTTTTTTTTCCAGTAAGTAAAGTCATTTCTATGTTTTCTAAGTTCATGCATTCCAGTGATGATTATGGTCATTCTTATTTACTGTCAAATATGGTGGATATGCTTGTAATGACTCACTACTATGTATAAAATTTGGTAATTTTCTGGCAGAAAATTTCCCCAAATTGAGGATAAGTTCTGTTCCCAAGCATGTTTTTTTAAGGAAAGGGTATTTAGTTTTTTTCTCTATCAGTTGTGATAAGAATACATTTGTTTTAAAAAATTGTTTAGTGTAATCCTCTAATGGATACATTTACTTAGTTTGTGTTCCTCAGAGTAAACTTAACTTGGTTAAGATATTTTTATTCTGATTATTCTTCTGGATTTACTTGCTAATATTATAGAAATTTGCATCAATGTTTGTTAAACTTTGTGTGCATGTGTGTGTGTGTTGTTGAATTTTTCTTTACTACTGTCATGAGTTGAATATTGAGTCTTTATTGTCTATCAGTTAGTCTAAATGGGAAGTTTTCCAAACGTAGTTGAAAGGTCTTAGGGAGTCTCAAAAATATTTTCAGTAGATCTATGAAGTGAAAACATTTTTCTTAATAATACTTAGATGTTATTTGACTTTTCTTTTGTGCTGGCATTTGCATTCACCATGCAAATGCACCAGCAGATAAAACTGCTGAGGCCATAGTATAAATTAAATCTGGTAGTCATTATATTATTCACAATTGTGCACTCTAAAAAATCAACACTGTCCTTGATAAAGGAATAAAAATAATTTGTTAATTTTTAACCCTCAAATACTACTCAAGATTAGAAATATTCCATAGATGCTTTAAACCTTTGTTATATATTTTTGGTAATTTATTAATATTTCAATAATTGTAACACTTCTGACTACTCTCATAAATTAATACTTTAAATTTATATTATAAAATCACCAATATTATGAAGACATTAGAATGTATTAATATCTTAAATATGCTTCATATTTTAATGTTCTCTTTATCATTCCCAAATGTCCCTTACATGTTTCTTTAGCTTTACATAATAACTATGCCAAAGTTAATTCATCAATATTTCCAGGGTCCCCAATACCACACAGAGAATGATGATTAGCCAGAAAGGTTTATAGGACTTAGAAGACAGTTTGATTCGCGTATAAGATTTATTACAACAGCAGAGCAAGAATACACACCTAGATTAGTAAGGGGAAAATACATATCATATAAAGTCTGCAAAATTCCTTACACAAATTTCATCAACCCAGTTTAAGAGAAAGCATAATGAGCATGCTCCCTTCTCTATTAGCAAAAAGGCAATATTGCATATAATGCTTCTGCCTAGGGAAACCCATTTAAGACTCAGCATTTTTGAGTATGGTCATACCAGCATCCTGATCATGTACTTAAATGATCAGTCATAATTACCAAAATTCTAGATAAGGAATCAGGTGTCCATCATAAATTAAATTGTTCAACATCATAGTCTAGGAAAGCAAATCAACACTATCAACTATGGAACATTTAAAACTTCAAGTTCCCAGACCTGAACTGAAGGCCAACCTTACAAGCAGGTCTTTCTAAAGATGGCAACTTCAGGGCTGGTAGGTTAGCTCTTTTTGAAGAATATTGGATTAATATTTCACAGAATATAAATGTTTGCATTTGCTATTATTAAAATTATTACTTTGTTCATACTTATTTTATATTTTCCTAATTACAGGACTAGAATGTTCATATTATTCTTTTAAAAATAACTCTTCCATTACTTTCTTGTTAATTTACTGTCTCATTGACATGTCCATTGTTGAAAGTGGATAATTAAAATCCTCTCCTATTATTGTATGGCCAACTATTTCTCCCTTCATGCCCATTAATACTTTTCTGATATATTTAGGTACTTTATTATTGGGTACATTTATAATTGTTATGTATTCTTGATGAATTGTACCATTTTCATTAAGTCATGTCTTTTGTTGTCTCTTGTGACTGTTTCCAACTTGAAGTCTATTTATCTGTTGTTAACATAGCTGCCCCTTTCTTTTTTGGTTACTATTTGCATGAAATATATTCTTCCATTCCTTTACTTTCAGCCTATGTGGATCCTTAAAGCTAAAGTTGATCTCCTGGATGAAGCATATAATTTAATCATTTAAAAATGTCCATTCAGTTACTCTGTGTCTTCTTATTCAATAATCTAATCCATTTATATTCAAAGTAACTATTTATAGGCAAGAATTTACTACTGCCAATTTTTGTAGTTGATTTTTGGTTGTTTTGCAGATCTTTTTGTTCTTTGCTTCCTCTCTTGTTGTTTATCCTTGTGATTTGGTGATTTTCTTTTGTGTTAAGTTTTAATCTTTTTCTCATTTGGGCACCTGCCATAGTTTTTTGCTTTGTGGTTGTCATAAGGCTTAAATAAGACATCTTATAGTTACAATAAATTATTTTATACTGATAACAAATTAACTTCAGTCACATACAAAAGCTCAAGAATTTACCCTTCCCCTCAGTTTAAATGTCTTTAAAAATTAAGCATTTCTTTTCCTTCACATGTGGATATTCAGAGACAATGTATTTTAGGTTAATATTCAGGTTTATTATATTGTGGGAATACATGTTTATTTTGAGATTTTTTAAATAACTATTTTCAGCATGATCTAATGCATGATTGATTTTTAAAATAACCCATGGAATTTTGAAAATTATGTATATTCTTTTATTCATTATAAAATTCCCTTGCTATTACATTGTGCTTTTTAGTGACTGTTGTTATACATTTTCTGATAATTGATTAGTTGTTTGATAACCTGAAAGAGCTATATTAAAGGCTTATAGGCTATGGATATGTACATATTCCATGTATTTTGTTTTATATATTTCAGAGACACTTCGTTGGTTATATTAAGTTGAATATCTTGTCCATCTTTTTAGTTTTAACATTTTTAGTAGTTGCTATTGCTTTTATACAGTTTAATGTTTATAATTTGATTTTCTTTCATAATATGTCACACACATACTTGCTATTTGTAGTATTTGCTTTTTAAAATTAGTCATTTCAATATCAGGGGATCCTTAGAAAATATGTTTGAAAATTGAGAATTTCTAGGCCATTTTTCATGGAAAAATCTAATCAATTCTTTAACTTGAAGAATCAGGATTATAATTGTCTCAAATTTCCCTGAGGCTTTCTATATTAACTTAGATATTTTCATTCACCAAAACTATTTTAAATGTTTTATAGCAAGAGCTCAAGTTGGAAATGTGAAGTGTTGTTTACATTTATTATTCATATTGTTCTCAATTTTGAAAATAAATTATTTTAAAATGTTGATTAGAGAATATATGAAGTGCTCCTCTCCACAATTCAAATAAGAAAAATTGTAGTAGAACATCTGCCCACCAACGTTCAGGTTATAATGATGATGGGCATGTAAGGTACTCTTCAGAAGCATTATTCTGTTTTCAATACTCCCTAATGCAATGTTATTTTTACTTAGGTTTCTGAGAAGGAAATCTCAGCAGTGGTATACTAAGAAACCAGAGTAAATAACTTACGTACTACTCAGTATAATTTTGTTTGTGTCCTATTACTGCTGTTAAAAGTTACCACAAACTTAGTGGTTTAAAACAATAGAATCTACAAAGACCTAGAACAGATTTACAAGAAAAAAACAAACAAATCCATTCAAAAGTGAGCGAAGGATATGAACAGACACTTTTCAAATGAAGACATATATGAGGCCAACAAACATATGAAACAATGCTCTTCATCACTGGTCATTAGAGAAATGCAGATCAAAACTACATTGAGATAACATCTCATGCCAGTTAGAATGGCAATCATTACAAAAGCAGGAGACATGCTGGAGAGGATGTGGAGAAATAGGAATACTTTTACACTGTTGGTGGGAGTGTAAATTAGTTCAGCCATTGTGGAAGACAGTGTGGCGATTCCTCAAGGATCTAGAAATAGAAATTCCATTTGATCCAGCAATTCCATTACTGTGTATACATCCAAAAAATTATAAATTGCTCTATTATAAAGACACGGGCACGCGTATGTTCATTGTGGCACTGTTTACAATAGCAAAGACCTGGAATCAACCCAAATGCCCATCGATGATAGACCGGACAAGGAAAACGTGGCACATATACAACATATAATACTATGCAGCCATCAAAAACGATGAGTTTGTGTCCTTTGTAGGGACATGGATGAATCTGGAAACCATCATTCTCAGCAAACTGACACAAGAACAGAAAATCAAACACTGTATGTTCTCATTCATAGATGGGTGTTGAACAGTGAGAACACATGGACAAAAGGAGGGGAGCATCACACACTAGGGTCTGTTGGGGAGGCAGGGGAGGGATAGTGGGAGGGTGGGGAGGTTCAGAAGGGATAGCATGGGGAGAAATGTAGGTGATGGAGGCAGCAAACCGCATTGCCACGTATGTACCTATGCGATAATCCTGCATAATCTGCACATGTACCCTAGAACCTAAAGTAAAATTTAAAAAATTATATACATATATATATATATATATATATAGAGAGAGAGAGAGACAGGTGGAAACATGATTCATACATCTTAACTCATCCTCATTATCATATTTTAGTCATTAATTAATGGCATAATTGCATATTTCATTCTATATATACCATGACAAACATTTTTTACATTTTATCAGAGACATCAAATTGTGCTTAAGTTTCAATTTTTGTTACTGACCTCTTTATTACCACAGTCACATTCTTCATTGGATTCCAAAATCCCATTACCACACACTGGTTGATTTTGATGTAATGGTTGCAAATTTGAAAACTTCTGAAGGCATTTAACCTCAAGTTTTGAAACAAAATATCTATAGTCGTGCATGCTGCAGTTGCTAAAAATCTTTATACCGCTGGCACTCCTAAAATAAAATAACATTCTTCAGGCAAATACACCTTGTGAATAAAACCACATCCAAACAACACTCCAAACATAATCATGCAAATCACAAGATAGCCACCACTGTATCTATACCTTAGCAGAGATTAAACTAACCATAATTAATTTTTAATTTCAATATTGCTTATCTTTAGCATGCTCTAAAAAGAAAACCTATTTTTTCCATCAAAGTAATGCAATAAGTTATGGTGGTTAAATCTATGTATCTACAGATCTATGTATTTACATATCTCTATCTCTATATCTAACAATCTATCGATTGTTCCCTCTACACAGTGTGTTGCTCTTCTGTTGTCTAGTTCAAGCTTTCTTCCTTCATTTCAGGGGGACATCTGCTCAAATGTTACTTCCCAGAGAGATCTGTCTTGACAGCACTATTTTCAATTGTGTCCCCTCTTTATTCTCCTACTTTCAATATTTTTCTACATAGCACTTTTGCATTATGTAAAAATAAATTTCATTAATTTTTATTTTCAAAACTTTATATTACCCAAACTTTATACTAAAACATAAGTCTCGGGGAGATCTTTATTTACATGTTCACAGGCATATTTCTACTACAGTATCTAGGAGAAAAGTCTAATAGATGAAACAGATATTTCAAATAGACAGTATGTGATATTGAACTACTTATCGCAACCATGTCTGTCTTCAGTTGCTGAATACTGCATTCGTTTAGTTGCTAAGGCTAACACGGGTGTGACCCTGGCCTCTGTTCTTTGTCTCACAATCCATACCCAATGCAAATACACATACATGCTAGACTATAACATAACCAATTCACAATTTTTATTTTCGTTACTTGTTAAAGTGATAATATTTTGGATTTATTGGGTTACATAAACTATATCATTAAAATATATTACCACAATTAATTTCATCGGATTCTTTTAATTGTTAAAGCTTCTAGAAAATTAAAAATTACATATGTGACTCACATTTTATTTCTATTGGACAGCACCATATTAGACAATTATGTATTAGAGAGCACTATACTACTATGTTAGACAGTCGTGTCTGAGACAGCAATACTTAAACAGCAAAATCTGAGATGACAGGTTCTGAGTAGTCCTCTAAGCCTCCAAGGAAATAAATGCAGAGCTGCTAAAGTTTCAGAGTTGGAAGTTTAAGAGCAAAGAGAAATGCTTTAGCTTATATTAACAGCCATTTGGTGTGGAACAAACATGAAAAAGTAAGAGAAATATTACACAGAATAATGTTTTTTAATCAAATTCTCACTACTATTTAAAAATACTGTGTTTTAATATGAATAAGTATCACCAGACTTTTGCACTGTCATGCAAAAAGCTACAAATATTGGGCACTGAAATCGCTTCACACAAAATTAGTGTACAAATAAATAGGGACTCAGAAATTATCTTCTACTTGGACCATACAATTTTCAACTGAAAATTAAAAGTGTTGCTTACAAAATGAGATTTTTGTTTAAGATAGGTACAAATCAATTAAGTTTTGAAACCGCTACTTAAAAATTGGACATGACAAAAAAGAATATGAATGTGGTGTCAGTGGGGGCTGTGTGTGTGTGTGTGTGCATGTGTGTGCATAGATATAGATCAATCTATAGTATATATCCCTAAGTATACAGAATTTTTGTGTGATATCTCTTCAAGTGTGATATACCTTTCTAGCCATTTATGTGGTATTGCAAATAGAAGTTTAAAAACTTTATTGCATTTTGGAAACAGCCTTATAAAAATATAAGTAAAATTAATTAAGAAAACATCTTACACCGCTTCACGATTCATGATGCATGTAGCTCTCATACAGGAACACTGAGTGACATCATCATATGTTAATCCTACATTAAGGCCAAGCAGTTGAGCTATAATAACAGAAAATCCCTCCAAACCTATAGCATCTGGATACTAAAATAAAGGACATTAAGGAGAAAACTATTATGTGTGAAAACAAAAGCAAGTAATAACTTGAAATATTTTTGATCTTATCATATTTTCTATTTTAATACTTCTTATGTTGAGCATACTTCACAAAAATTATTTTGGTATGCCACTTATTTATCTGCCATAATTGATTAAAAAGCATGAAACAAATTGTGATATTCTCTGATTTTAAATTTTGCATGCTAAAATTCTGTAGCTTTGAACACATGGTATTTCTGATGCAATGAAACAAATTTATTTCACTTCATTAATTCATTCAATTAATAGATATCAACTCAGTGTACTCATGTGTCAGACATTGTGATAGACGATAGGAATATAATGGCATGTGTGAAAGAAAAATAATTTGTTCACATCTATAGCTTATATTATAGACAAGGAGAAAGACAACAGTAATCTGCAATAAACTTTCTATATAAAAATAGATTGTTACACATGCTCTTAAGAAAATAAGGTACTCCAATAGAAAATTTTATGGAGGAGTATAAAATAAGGTTGTTAAATAAGGTAGTTATAAAATGTTCTTTGTGGAATTGATATTTAGGCTGAGATATAAAGTATGGGAAGTGACCCAACAATATGTGTATGTATAGGGGGCCTGAGTGGGGACCTAACAAAGATTTTGTATAATGAGTAAAGTGAAGAAATGATAGGACAGAAGCCAGAGATACAGACACAATCGCACAAAAGAACTTTGGGCCAGGTGCAGTGGCTTAGACCTGTAATCCCAACATTTTGGGAAGCCAAGGCAGGAGGATTGCTTAAGGCCAGGAATTCAAGACCAGCCTGGGCAATATAGTGAGACTCCGTTTCTACAAAAAAAAGCTTAAAAATAGCCAGCAAGGTGATGCACACTTGCAGTCCCAGCTACTCATGAGAAGGCAAGGATGACTTGAGCCCTGGAGTCTGGGGTTGCAGTGAGCTATGATTGCACCACTGTACTCCATCCTTAGCCACAGAGTGAGACCCTGTCTCAAAGACAAAAAGAAAACAAAAAATAAATTTGAAGTGAGAAGATATTAAGAAATGGTTGCTAACAGTGTGGACTCGAAGTATTTTTCATATTATCTATCTTTGATAAATAAATTATGATATGTTTCTTAGCTGTTAATCATTACAAGCAAAAATCTGAGAACATGTCTAATTTTTCTATATAAATGTAAATTTATAAATAGAAAATGTATATAATGCATATCTAAAAGAAAAACAAGATTGTGTACATGTTTGTATATATGTGACTGAAAACAGAGATTTAGCAATATGAAAAATAAACTAATAAATATCCTTTCCTATTACCCTGTAATAAATATGGTTAAAAGTCACAGTGTCAGAATTTGAAAGAAGTTAAAGCCAAAACAGAATATGAAGCATGATATCTAGGCTGATCATCAAGTTTTGGGGCAATATATAAGAACCAAAAGCTAGACTTTTGATACTTGATCAGAGAGGGAAATACGGTTTTGCACTTTCAATATAAATGGTGTTCTTATTAAAAGAAGGTATTTAGATACAGTGACAGAGACACAGAAAGAACTTCATGTGAACAGAAAGGTAAAAATTGGGGTAATGTATCCATAAGACAAGAAATGCCAAAGATTGCTAGTAAACCAGCAGAAGCTAGGGCAAGGCAGAGAAGGGATTATCTTTCATAGCCCTCAAGAGGAACAACTCTGTTCGTCTTGATTTCAGAATGCTATTTTATCCAGAACTGTGAAGTAATACATTTCTGTTGATTAAGTGCTTAGTTTGTGGTGTTTTGTTATGGCAGTCCTGGAAATCTAATACAGTCCCCCAAATATATCATAACCCAATGTAATATATCATAAAAGTGCCCAAGGCATGGGGAAAATACATTATATAGTGAGGAAGAAAGGTAGAATTACAGCAAAGTTCTCATTAGAACAGTGCAAAAGAGAAAACAGTAGGAAAACCTCCTTAAAACTACCACTAGATAAGGATGCTCTTTCTCCACTCCTATTCAAAATACTATTGAAGGTTCTAGCAAGGCAATCAGGCAAGTGAAAAAAGGTATCTAAAGAGGAAGTCAAGCAATCCCTGTTTTCAGATAACATGATCCTATATCTAGAAACCCCAGGATCTCATTCCAAATGCTTCTTAAACTGATAAACAATTTCAGCAAAATTTTAGGATACAAAATCAATATGCCAAAATCACTAGCATTCCTATACACCAATAATAGTCAAGCCAAGAGCCAAGTCATAAGTGGGCCCATATTCACAATTGTCACACAAAAAAGAAAATACCTAGGATACAGCTAACTAGGTAGGTGAAAGATCTCTACAAGAAGAACCACAAACCACTGTTCAAAGAAATCAGAAATGATATAAACAAATGGAAAAACATCCTATGTTCATGGAAAGAATCAATATTCTTTAAATGGTCATGCTGCCCAAAGCAGTTTATAAATTCAATACTATTCCTATTAAACTATCATTAACATTCTTCACAGTACTAGAGAAAATGATCTTAAAATTCATATGGAACCAAAAAAGAGAATAAATAGCAAGGCAATCATAAGCAAAAATCAAACAAACAAAAGATAAAAATAAAAACAAAACCAAAGCTGAAGGCATCATTCTTGCTCCTTGACTTCAAACTCTACTACAGGGCTACAGTAACCAAAACAGCATGGTACTAATAGAAAAACTGACACCTAGACAAATGGAACAGAATAGAGACCCCAGAAATAAGACCATAGACCTACAAATATCTCATCTTCAACACACCCAGCAAAAAGAAGCAAAGAGGAAAGAATTATCTATTTAATAAATGGCAATGAGATAACTAACTAGCCATATGCAGAAGAATGAAACTTGACCCCCTCTTTACACCATATACAAAAATTAACTCAAGATGGATTAAAGACTTAAATGTAAAACCCAAAACTATAAAAACCCTGGAAGACAAGCTAGGCAGTACCATTCAGGACACAGGCAGGAGCAAAAATTTCATAATAAAGATGCCACAGCAACTGCAACAAAACCAAAAATTGACAAATAGAATCTAATTAAACTAAAGAGCTTCTGCACAGCACAGGAAACTATTAATAGAGTAAACAAAAAATCTACAGAATGGGAGACAAATTTTGTAAACTATGCATCTGACAAAGGCTTAATATCTAGAATCTATAGAAAACTTAAAGAAATGTACTAGAAGAAAAACACCAATAACTCCATAAATATTGGGCAAAGGAAATGAACAGGCAATTTTCGAAAGAAAAAATAAAAAAAAACCTCAACATCCGTGATCATTAGAGAAATGCAAATCAAAATCACAATGAGATATCATCTTATACCAGTAAGAGTGGCTATTATTAAAAAGTCAAAAAATAATAGATGCTGGTGAGGTTTTGGAGAAAGAGAAACACTTATACACTGTTGGTAGGAGTGTAAATTAGTTCAGCCATTGTGGAAAATAGTGCAGTGTTTCCTCAAAGACCCAAAGACAGGAATACCATTAGACCTAGCAATTTCATTACTGGGTATATACCCAAAGGAATATAAATCATTCTAAATACTATGCAGCCATAAAAAAAGAAGGAGATTATGTCCTTTGCAGGGACATGGATGGAGCTGGGGGCCATTATCCTTAGCAAACTAACACAGGAACAGAAAATCGAATACCACATGTTCTCACTTACAAGTGGGAGCTAAATGATAAGAAAGCATGGACATATAGAAGGGAACAACACACACTGAGGCCTATCAGAGGATGGAGAGGATCAGGAAGAATAACTAATAGGTACTAGGCTTAATACCTGAGTGATGAAATAATCTGTACAACAAACCATATAATAAGGCTACAGTAACTAAAACAGCATGGTAGTGTTATAAGAACAGACACATAGACCATTAGAACAGCATAGAGAACCCAGAAATAAGACCACACACCTACAACCATCTGATCTAACAAAAACAAGAAAATGAGTAAAGGATTGCCTATTTAACAAATGGTGCTAGGAGAACTGGCTAGCCATATGCAGAAGAATGAAACAGGATCCCTTTCTTATACCATATAGAAAAATTAACTCAAGATGTATTAAAGATGTAAATGTAAAACTCAGACCTAAAAAACCCTGGAACACAAGCTAGGCAGTACCATTCAGGATATAGGCATTGGCAATGATTTCATGAGAAAGATGACAAAAGCAATTGCAACAAAACCAAAAATTGACAAATGGGATCTAATTAAACCAAAGAACTTTTGCATAGCAAAAGAAATGATCAACAGAGTAAACAGACAACCTACAGAATGGCAGAAAATTTTTACAATCTATGCATCTGGCAAAGGTCTCCTATCCAGTACCTACAAGGAACATAAACAAATTTACAAGAAAAAAAAAACATTATAATGTGGGCAAAGGACATGAACAGACACTTCTCATAGGAAGACATATATGTGGCCAACAAACATGAAAAAGAGTTCAACATCACTGGTCATTAGAGAAATGCAAGTCAAAACCACAATGAGATAGTGTCTTTTATCAGTTTGAATGGCTATTATTAAAAAGTCAATAAACAACAAATGCTGGCAAGGTTGTAAAGAAAAAGAAACACTTTTACACTGTTCACATGAGTGTAAATTAGTTCAAATTTTCTGGAAGAGGGTGGCAATTCCTCAAAGACCTAGAGGCAGAAATACCATTTGACTCATGAATCCATTACTGAGTATATACCGGAAGGAATATAAATCATTATGTAATAAAGACACATGCACACATATATTTATTGCAGCACTAGTCACAATAGCAAAGACATGGAATCAACCTAAATGGCCATCCAGGATAGACTGGATAAAGAAAATGTGGTACATATACATCATGGCATACTATGCAGCCATAAAAGAAATGAGATTATGTTCTTTGCAGGGATACAGATGGAAATGGAAGACATTATCCTCAGCAAACTAACGCAGGAAAGGAAAATCAAATACCACATATTCTC